TTTGCCATAGGCACCAGCTACACCATCAATGGTCCTGTGTTATTGGGACAAAAATTGAGATTCGAAAATTAATTAAGAACCATGCATGCTTACACCATGATGCGCATGCAGATATGCAGTAGCAGATTACCTTACACCTTCAATCCAACCGGGAAACGGCTCCTGGTAAGTACTTGTTACCATAGTAGGGCGGATAATGACTAGAGGTACTGTATCTCTATTATCATGGACTAGGAGCATCTCTCCCATTGCCTTGGTAAATACGTAAGTGTTTGGCCATCCAAACATCCTGGCCCTGTAATTAATCACGATCAAGGGAAAATACATCATGTCAGGCAAAGAAGTATAGATGTCTTAAACGAAAATTGTCACAATTTATTTAGATATTACTACCGTTTAGAGCCATAATACTTCATGTAGAGTTATCAAAAACATCTGAGGCCCTATAAACAATTCAAGGTCAATGGTCCCTATCACCTGTCTAGGGGAACCATCATATGCTCTAGCTGTCATAGTACTTGGCCTCATATGAGTAGTATCAATTGGCATCTCATCTAGCATATGCCTTGGTAGCATATTCAAAGCTAAACCATTATCCACAAGCACTTTGCCGATCAGACAGTCCTTATATTTCACAGTGATATACAAAGGCTTGTTATGCCTAGTCCCTTCCGGGTCTAGCTCATCTTCAGTGAAGTATAAGTAATTGGAGGCTTGAATTCTTACAAAACTCAATTCTTAGCAATTCTTACAAGTACATTTTTAGCAATTCTTACAAAACTCAATGATTGGTACTTAAAAGTACATTTTTATAAAGGTTTTATATCATTATTTTGCACTTAAAGTATCAATAACTCCTTAACTAAATCATGCTTTATAATATTATTTCTAATACTATAAGATACCTTTAATTTATAGTAAATATTCATCTTAAATGTAGGCTTATGATATAAATCAAGGGATTGATAGATGAGTTTAACTACTAAAATTAAGAAGACAAAGAGAGTGCTAAGATTAGAAAAGAGATATTGGTTTAGTCGAAACTGAAATACCATTCATTTATTGGATCATAGCTGGAGTTGTAGAACTTAGATTTAGGTTTGCTCTATATGAATAGAAAGATAAGATATAGGCATAAAACTTTCATGAAAAGTCCAAATTCAAAAAATACCTTTTCCAAGTTCAAATTATAGCAACAACGGAGAAATCTAAATCTGTCCTACAGCTCAGATATTGTTCAGTATTTAGCCTATATCTCGAGTTCTAGAAGTCCAAATATATCTATTTTTTTTGTTGGAAAGTTGGGATAATTTTCTAGAACTCATAAGACAATCTATTCAAATTCTGAAGTTAGTAATGATGTTTTGTTGAGACAATAAGATAAGGATTGTCACCAAGTCAAGATGTGGCCACCCACTCAACAATTAGTCAACAAATCAATAGTTTAAAATTTTTGCCTATAAAATAAGGTATTTGTTATTCATTTAGGTATCTTGATTTTTAGATAAATATCATATTCTTGCTCTCTCTTTATATTTTTGTAATGCTTAAGTTTTGCTTATAGTAATCTTTTGTTTATGTTTGTCATTTCCTTTCCTATACTTAGTTAACTTATATCTTATTTATATTCTTATCTTGTTTATTTATGTTTTTCTTTTTCATTATATTTAGTTAAATTTATTATGTCAAGGTGAAAAGGTTACACTAATACTGTAAAAATAAGTATAGTATAAACTTAACATGGACCTTAATGTTTGATACTAATATCTTTTGTATTTGTTATCTTGTTCACTTTTAATACTTTACTTGTTAAATGGTTGATCTAGATTTATATCATATAACATCTAGTACAATAAATACTTAGCACTTTCATAACCTAACCGTATAGTATAACCGACACATGTGTTATGAAATAAATTTTATTTGTTATTAACATAAGTTATAATAATGAATACCAGAGAACATTTACAGGTATTAGCTTTATTCGAATAAGATAACTAATGGAATTATGTTAACAATTTATAATGTGATTGGAACCTCCTTTGTATATGGTTTCTAGTTGAGTAATAAAAAGAGTTTATATTATACTTGTTTAAAATACCATTAGTGGATCCTCTAATCTTGACAATTATTTTATCATTATTTAATCCTCATATTAATCTAACATTACAAAATCCTCTTTAACTTATTATTATTGTTGTTATTATTATTATTATATATTTAATTTTTTTATGATTCAACCTTAATTTTATTGGATTATTTATTATTTCAATATTTTTACATTTGAAAAAAAAATATTGATATTTTCATTGTGTCAATCAATAAGATAGGAGTAATTAATAAGGAATGTGACTTTGCTTTCATACGCAGATGTCTTCTTTTCTTATATTCAAATAATTTAGTAAAAATAGGTTTTCATTAAATAACTAGTTATTTTTTATCCACAAGGACACTTTTCGTGCAACTATCATGACATCACATCCTCTTTTTGAACGATGGACCTATGATGATGCAGGTGATGTGTGAACAATATGAACCATAGAAATAGACTAAATTTTGATGGACATAACGAAATGTGAAAATAAAGTAATGCCAAAGAATTGGAAATTGAGACGCAGCTGAACTAAATTAGCTATGTTGATCAAACCTTTAATGGCAACGAATAACAAATCGCCGTGTATATACGGAAACTAGCCATGGAGCTGAAAGCTGTAAACTCGCCAACCTTTATTGGCTTTCCATCTTTGTCAATCAACGGATTTTGAACGAAGTACCGCATGCTTAGTTCTTGAAAATTTGAGAATTTGAACGGATTTCTCAATGAAGATCCTACATGATAAATGATTTCTGAAGTAGTGGATCGGTTTGCACATTCCACCATGGCCATTATAAGAGCATTGATTACCATGTCAGCTGGTATCTGCATCATTTCCAGGACATTTTCAGTTTTGGCATGCTTATATATATAAAAACTAATGAAAGAACGAAGCGGGTATTAGCTAACCACGTCGACTGTTAACTTTGGATTGAACGTTAAGTGTTTCAAATTCCCTTTAGCATAGCCAACAGCGACACCATCAATGGTCCTGCTTTATGGGGACAAAAATTGAGATTCGAAAATTAATTAAGAACGGATTACCTTGCACCATCAATGGTCCTGTGTTATGCTTACACCATGATGCGCGTGCAGATATTCAGTAGCAGATTACCTTACACCTTCAATCCAACCGGGAAACGGCTCCTGGTAAGTACTTGTTACCATAGTAGGGCGGATAATGACTAGAGGTACTGTATCTCTACTATAATGGACTAGGAGCATCTCTCCCATTGCCTTGGTAAATACGTAAGTGTTTGGCCATCCAAACATCCTGGCCCTGTAATTAATCACGATCAAGGGAAAATACATCATGTCAGGCAAAGAAGTATAGATGTCTTAAACGAAAATTGTCACCATTTAATTAGATATTACTACCGTTTAGAGCCATAATCCTTCATGTAAGATGTGATCGCACTCTCTTTATATTTACAAATTACAAGGAAAAAAGAAAAAGAAAAAAAAATGAAAAAGTAATTGTTTACAAACTTAAATTGACATTTACTAGTCTTTTAGGCATAGTGTGAAATCATTTCAAATGTTTAAAGTAGGGTAGTTATAGTTATTATAAGTGAGGTTGTTATTGAGATAGCTTTTATATTTGTGATTTACAATGTGACCACGAATTATTATTTTATCCTTACATCGTTGGATCCGAAACTCCTAGTTCAAGAGATCAAATAAAAAATTTGATGCAAGCACAGATCGGAGATGAAATTGACGCCGATATTTTATATACATTGTAAGAGAAATTGGTCCCATGAAGACGACACTTTTGCCTTGGCCGGGCGAAAATGAACACATAACACCGACGTGATGAGTTGTTTGATGCAAAGCAAAACTCCAGTTGTGACGCTGTGGACATACAGTAGCCATCATAAAGGAAAACGTAGGATGCTCCTATAGGATTGAATTTTCTCTAGTTGATTGTTTTTGGTATCTGCTTCTGATGAAGTCTTGCACTTTAAAATCTGTAAAATATTCTTTTTAATAAAAAGAATTAATGATATGAAATGACGAGATTTAATAATATATTTTGTAATAAAATCATATATAAAGAATCAAAATTTAATTAAGCAATAAGGTCAAATTCAATGAATATATGAAGTCTGAATACCAAATCCCATAAGCTTCTTCACTTTGGGTTGAACCCTCAATATCTTCTCCACGAAAACTGCCAACGTTAGAAAACAACATTGTTAATGGATTGATTCTGTCACAGCACATCACTACAAAAATTAAAGGAACGAAATCATAAATTCGTAAGTCTTGAGGAAATAAATTTCTTTTGAGAGGGGACAATACTCTTCGCAAGAAATCCAGCTGCACCAATGACCAAAATGGACTTGTTGTTCAGGAACTCGGTTATACTTCCCAGCTCCATTGAAGAAAATATTTTCCTACCTTTATTAAATTTTTGGATGAATTAAAAACAGCATCTCGGAGGATATATATATATATAACCACAACTTCAGAGGACAGTGGTTGTTTGCAAACTTAAATTGACATTTACTAGTCTTTTAGGTACGGTGTGATAAATCATTTAAAATGTTTAAAGCAGGGTAGTTAGCATGGACCAGATGTGATGACAATTCAGGAGATAAGTTGTGGGGAAAACGATTGTGGACTTAGACACGTGCAATTCGTTTCTTTCACCCTAGCCCCGGGCAAAAAGCTGCATGTGAGTCTAAACACTAGCGACTGCCGACATATATAGAAAGTGGCTTGCAACTCCTTTCTTTTGCATTCATCGTGTGGGGTCTTCTGCTCGCTGGCTGGATACACATCAAAGCTTTAAAAATGACATAACTTCTGTTAAAAAAAACGTGAGGAGATAAATCTAACCCCATCTAAAAAAATTATTAATGATGAATGTAATGGCCTATATAAATCGCTAGAAGACAAGTGGAACTTGTTATTTTTAAACTATTTATATAATTTATTTTATTGATTGTTGATTTTTTTTTAATATTTTTGGGTTTATTTCCTTGAGATTTTGTTAATAGTATTAATAATATCATCATCAAAGTTTATCATACTTCTAAGAGTGTCATTATCGAAACTTCAATGTCTTTAAGATCTCTTTTTTTTTTCTTCTTCTTTATATTTACAAATTACAATGAAAAAAGAAGAGGAAATATAAACAAAGAATGAAAAAAAAGTGGTTGTTTGCAAACTTAAATTGACATTTATTGGTGTTTTAGGCACAGTGTAACAAATCATTTGAAATGTTTAAAGCAGGGTAGTTATTCTGAGTGTGATTGTTATTGAGATAGTTTTTATGTTTGTGATTTGAAGTGTGACCACTAATTATTATTTTATTCTTATATCATTAGATCCCAAACTCCTAGCTCAAGAGATCAAATAAAAAATTTGATGCTAGTAAAGATCGGAGATGGAATTGACGCCTATATTTTACATACATTATAAGAGAAATTGATCCCATGAAGACGACACTTTTGCCTTGGCCAGGAGAAAATGAACACATAACACCGACGTGATGAGTTGTTTGATGCAGAGCAAAACTCCAATTGTAACGTTGTGGACATACAGTAGCCATCATAAAAGATGCTCCCATAGGATTGAATTTTCTCTAGTTGATTGGTCTTGGCATCTGCTTCTGATGAAGTCTTGCACTTTAGAAGCCGTAAAATATTCTTTTTAATAAAAAGAATTAAAGATATAAAATGACGAGATTTAACAATCTATTTTGCAATAAAATCATATATAAAGAATCAAAATTTAATTAAGCAACAAGGCCAAATTCAATGAATATATGAAGTCTGAATACCAAATCCCATAAACTTGCTGATCACCATGAATTATTATTTTACCCTTATATCATTGGGTCCCAAACTAAATAGCTCAAAAGATCAAATAAAAAGAAATTGATGTAAGGAAAGATCAGAGATGGAGTGTGATCGTTATTAAGATAGCTTTTGTATCTGTGATTTAAAAAAAATTATTTTATAAAAATTATTTTTAGTTAAGATTGGTATAATATTTATATATGTTTGGTTAAAACTATGGTTAAAATTGAGGTTGAACAAAAAATAGTTTAATGTGCTTGGTTGTGGTTGAAATTATTTTATAAAATTATTATATATATTTTGATGTGAAACAAAACTATTTGTGGTTAGTGGTGGAG